CTACAGCTATGGAGGAGGCGGCGGCAGCGGCAGCAATGCCTATGCCAAAGCGAATGCCTATTCGGGAAGTTGGTAGAGAGCCAAGAAGCAGCTTAACATCAATTTATTGTATAGAAAAAATATTCTCTTTAAAATTGTGAATAAAACTTAATGCAATTGGCAGACACAAAAGATTCGGAATGGAATGGAGGAGAGCACGGAGAGATTCCAATTGGGGATGATATAAGAATATTTGGCAATGTGGAATGGAATGGAAATGGAAAAGGGGACGTAATTGGAACAAAGGCAACAGGAAAGATTGCAAAGAGCTTCCAATGAAAGAAACGAAGAGAGCATAGAAGGGCGTAGGCAACGGCATTACAATTGGGATTGATGGTAACAAAGACTGGGTAGAAAACCGAAAGATATTCCAATGTGATATAGCAGATCAGAGATGAGTACAGTGGAACAGAAGGGAACAGGGAAGCTCAAAGTTAGGTATATGATCAACTAGTGGGAACAAGGGAAAGAAGGAAGAAGGCGCTGCAAAAGATTCTAATAAGAATTAAATTGATGAAGAATATATATTCCAATTGGTGTGTATGAGCGCAGATGAAGCACGCAATTCCAATTGGGTAATGAAAGCAAAAGGGAAGCGCACAGCAGCAGGGGAAGCTTTTTTTTATAGTTTCGACATATTCAAATTGGCAATGGGAACATGTTTTATAGCGAAAAGAAAAAGCGAGATAGAAAACCGAATCTAAGTTAAGCCCATGTATACGCAGCCCAAAGTTACCCTGGAGTTAGAGTGAGGTACACCAAAATAAAGAGAAAGAGAGAGCGCGAGATACATTATAGATATATACACAATATGTAATCAGTTGAAGGCGTTACATATTAGCTGTTTGAGTGGATATGCCCGCTGCTGCAGTAGCTAAACATATGAATATTACCTAGTTGAAAAAAAGATCGCACATTTCGAAACTCGTTTGGCTACACGTTCATATATACTGACATAAACTTGCAGGTACAACAACAACAACAGCAGCGAACACCTGTAAACGTGTTTCAAAATGCCAAAAATGTCAAAGAAAAAAGATTTCATAAATTTGTATTTGTTTAAGCAAGCGGAATCCAAATATCCATAGATAGTGCGTGGGCGCATGAGAATGCCAATAAGAATATGCAATTGGAATCGCTTACATTCCAAGCAGAAGATGCTACGCACACCTTTAACTTGTTTTGCTGTTGTTCCTGCTACTGCTGCTGTTGTTGTTGTTTACAATTAACTGAGATCATGTTTGCAAAAATGCTTGCGTAATTTGCTCTCAAGTGTCTGTGCTGTATAACTGATGAAATCTTTAGCAATTATAGGATGATTAGATCCATTATCTATTATAAGGCATTATAAGACATTATTGTATAATTATCATGAGTTATATTGGAAAGAACCTGTTAGCTCTTTGAAGAGCTTTAATGGCCCATTTATGTCTATCTAACATATAACTCTCTGAATTAATAGGCTGACTCACTAGAAGATACTCCTTGGAGTACTTATACTTATACTTATACTTATACTTATACTTATACTTATACTTATACTTATACTTATACTTATACTTATACTTATACTTATACTTATACTTATACTTATACTTATACTTATACTTATACTTATACTTATACTTATACTTATACTTATACTTATACTTATACTTATACTTATACTTATACTTATACTTATACTTATACTTATACTTATACTTATACTTATACTTATACTTATACTTATACTTATACTTATACTTATACTTATACTTATACTTATACTTATACTTATACTTATACTTATACTTATACTTATACTTATACTTATACTTATACTTATACTTATACTTATACTTATACTTATACTTATACTTATACTTATACTTATACTTATACTTATACTTATACTTATACTTATACTTATACTTATACTTATACTTATACTTATACTTATACTTATACTTATACTTATACTTATACTTATACTTATACTTATACTTATACTTATACGTATACTTATACTTATACTTATCCTTAACTTATACGTATACTTATACTTATACTTATACTTATACTTATACTTATACTTATACTTATAGACTTATACTTATCTTAGACTTATACTTATACTTATACTATAATACTTAACTTATACTTATACTTATACTTATACTTATACTTATACTTATACTTATACTTATACTTATACTTATACTTATACTTATACTTATACTTATACTTATACTATACTTATATATACTTATACTTATAACTTATACTTATACTTATACTTATACTTATACTTATACTTATACTTATACTTATACTTATACTTATACTTATACTTATACTTATACTTATACTATAATACTGATACTTATACTTATACTTATACTTAATAGCTTATACTTATACTTATAACTTATACTTATACTTATACTTATACTTATACTTATACTTATACTTATACTTATACCTTTACTTATACTTATACTTATACATTACTTATACTTATACTTATTATACTTATATACTTATACTTATACTTTATACTTATACTTATACTTAGACTTATACTTATACTTATACTTATACTTATACTTATACTTATACTTATACTTATACTTATACTTATACTTATACTTATACTTATACTTATACTTATACTTATACTTATACTTATACTTATACTTATACTTATACTTATACTTATACTTATACTTATACTCATACTTATACTTATACTTATACTTATCCTTCTTTCTTTATCTACAGTCTGAGAGCTGTCAAACAGAGCAACTCGCAGTCATTTATACCCGTTCCACTTCTACTTCTACTTCTTCTTCTTCTTCTTCTTTTAGTGTTTATTTGCATTCTTGTGACGTTTCTTTGACGTGAATTATGACAAAGGTTGTTGCTCGCTTGTTGCCCTGGCACTGGCTCAGTCAGTCAAGCTGCAAATGAAGTCGCGTATCTTTGGCATCGTTTGTATCTTTTGCATATTTGTATCTTTGTATCTTTTGCTGTGCATCTGCGATCCTGGCATCCAGTCAACAGATTGACATTCGCACTGGAAAAACTTGTTTGCAATTGTCGTTGTTGCTGTTGCTGTTGCTGTCGCCGCTGTTGCTGCTGATGATGATCAAAGCCAATAGCAAAAGCAATTGGAGCCGCTTCTCACGTTTCCCAATCGCTTGGCACGGGCATTATTGAAAGTTTTTCGAATTTCCAGCTCACACACACACAGGGAAAATATATATATACAGCTGCATTTATATGAGATTTTCCTCAAATCGATAACAGGTTTTTGGGCTCTAGCTTGCATTGCTGCTGACTCCGTCTTGGCCAGGCCAGGCCAATTTTAATGGCTGCAGCAGAAAGTTTTGTGTTTGCTGTTTTTATTTTTCTGTTCATTTTTCGCATACCCTATAGTGCTGACAGCCGTGTTGCGGTGCAGGTGTATTTATCGATATTTATCGATTTTTAGTATTGAATTTTTAATATCAAAGAGGAGACAGCCAAGAATTATATATACGAATTTGAGATTGTTATTAAGAAAACTCTGCACAGCTGCTTTATCTTGAGCACAGGGTATGTTGAAGTCGGGCAGCCTGCTCCATGGTGGTTTCTTCTTCATCGGGCTTGGGGCTCATTGAAGTGCAGCCAAGCTGTGGTCACAAATATGCGGATGACAAGCGGCCAAGTGTTTTCGCTGCACCTATCTTTCTCTCTCTCTCTCTCTCTCTCGCTCTCCTTCTGTGTATCTCTGTCTTGGCATGGGCTCGTTCCGGCCTAGCTGCGTTAGTGGCAACACTTAAGTTGCTCCGTCATCAACGGGTGCATTCCAAGTGCCAGGTTCTGTATTCTGTGGCCCACATTGGCTAACAAATGGCCTCTTGCGGCCGATGCAATCCGCTTAAATGGGCGTGACACTGGCCATATTGCAATTGGAGCAAAACGTTTCAGATATGGCACAAGCACAGCACACAAGCTTCCAGCTAGCCAGATCAACGACAATTCCAGTTGGAAATTCCAAGACGAACTATTTCGACACCTCTCTAAGGAGAGTTCTCATCAAGGACAACTTGCTTTCTTTTTAACTTTAGCTTTCTGGAGCTTTCTATAATTTCGTTTCGTTTACGAAACCTTCAACATCCATTAATGGATTTACGGAAGCTCGGTGAAGAGCAGAAACCATCTGTTAAACATTCTTCATGAACTGTTAATGAAGACTTGGCGAGATAAGACGAGCCATGATAAAGAAATTTACTCAGATCAAACAAAAAAAAAAAACAAGCAAAACAAAATAAAAATTCGAGTTCGGTCACAAGACAACGCGAAATCCAATTGGCAAATAATTTGGCTACGAACGAAACTGGAACATTGGCAGGAAAGGCAGGCAGGCAGGCAATACGTACTGCTAAACTAAACTGTAAAACCAGTTGTAGCTGTTGTTGCTATTGTTGCTGCTGCAAACAAAAATATACAAGACAAAATGGCTTCAAATAAGCATGCTCGACTAAAGGATACCTCTTAAACTGTGTACCATAACTAATTTATAAAATTTGTGTCCATCCAAATAGATTCTAATTTGTAAATAATTAATTTACTACGTTCGAATTTCAACTTAACATCTGCCTCATGTAGATCAAATGAATATTGTATACCTTAGGGCGTAGCTTTGCCTCTTACATATATACGCACAGGATTCAATTCAGCCCAGTTCACAATTCTATCCAGGGTATAGAGGCGCTAGCTGCGAGGATCACATATCGCATTGATTTGACATTTTGTCGCCTTTAACGAAATGGCGAACGGGCAGCAAAAAAAAACAACAACAAAGTAAATTGAGCAGCCGCCAGTAAACACGAAGCAGCGGCTGTAGCTCGGCAGCGCTCGGATGTGCTTACGAAGTAGCAACTGAGCTCTGGCTTGGGCAGCGGCTTAAACAGCCAGACAGTCTTCGGTACGAGCTGAACGCGCCAAGTCGATATCTTAAAGCGTTTGACAGAGCTGCCTGAGCCCGAGCAACGATATTCGAATTCGAGTTCGAATTCGAGAAACGAGTCTGTGTCGCTGTGCGAAACTGTGCGTGAAATTTGGTAAAGAGCAGCCGCCGCCACAAACCGAAACTGAAATTGAAATTGAAACAGAAACCGATGCAAGTCGTTGCCAGAGCCGAAACCGAAGGCGGGCGCATTCCACAAAACGAATATACTCAAAGACCGTTTTAATGTGGTTTTTGTTGTTATTTATTTAATTTTGTTTGTTTTTTTTTTCTCTAATGCAAAGCAAGAAATTCGCTTTGATTTCCTTTTTTTTCATTTGCTGACCATCAATTTAAATTTATTGAAGATTTGCATATTTATTTTTTGTGTCTGTGTGTGTGTTGTTTTTATTTTTTTTTATTGTTGTTCATAGTTTCGTCTTGCTCAGCCATAAAATTCGTTATTCGCTTATTTCTTTTGCCTATATTATAGAGTTGTTTCTTATACATATATATTAATTGCTGCTAAACGGAGCGAGACCAAAAACAAATATCAAGGAATCGAATTTGATCTTCATTTGCGGCACGCGAACCTAATCAAGGGTAAGATATATGCATACATATAGAGTCCATACATATAAGTTGACCCCCACACCCTTCTCCTGCTGCTCTTCTTGCTCCCCTTAGAGTTCGATTCAATGTCAAAGTGCTGCTGACTTTCAAACCCGATTCGATAGACGCATTGCGCACTCAAGCAAAACTTATCGATAAGTCGATAATTAATCGTAGCGACAACAGTTCATTAGCGCATAACTGCATTTCAAAATGTGTGCCGAATCAGCTTTATTTATTAATTTTTGTGTTTTGTTCAGTCAAGATGAGATAACCAAATGAGATAATGTCTGCAAGATTCACATCGAAGCCCAAGAGGGGAATCGTCTACATTTTCTAAGCCAAGCTGTAGGCATTCATATGCAAAAGAATCGCATCAGCTATTTAATGTCAACTTCAGAGGGGCTCAGGGCGGGGGAGAGGAGGGCGGGATGGGGGAAGTTGAATGTGGAATGCCAGAAAAGCGGCCTCAGAAAAAAAGCCGTGCGTCTCGCTCGTGCCGAATCGCTTAAAATCATCAATCTTAACTTTAACAGCAACAACAACAACAGAAATACCTGTTGTATGCGCATGCAAATGAATTTGTGTTAAAAAAAAAAGAAAAAAACATAAATAAAAACAAGAAACAAAAACCAAAACAAAAACAAAAGCAAAACACATTCTTCTTGTCAATTCTTGTTTTAAAAAGCTTGGTCAACAACACGCAGACTAATATTATAGCATTTACAATACACAAATTAAAAGACAAGAGAGAAACAGCTCCACTTGGTAGTGCCCAGCTAGAAGATACCCTGACAGTGCGCTCAAAGCAAAACTTTCTATTCTTACGCTTCTCGCCGTTTGCTGGAATGGGTGGCGGTGCGTAAGGCTCTATATGTGTGTCTGCTTTTGGAAGTATCCATGAAGCAACTTTTGGCGATTACAACTCTTCAAATTTACAGGAATTGCCTTGAAATCTTATTGTTGTTGGTTGTATGGAAATTATCATCGCTAATGCCAAGCAAACTTGATAATAGAAGAAATGCAAACTTAAAGTTTTAATACGATCTTATGATCTGAACAAATCTAATTTGTTTTGAAGTTTAGTTCTATTTTGAATCGAAATAATATAATATAGTATAGTATATAGTATATATAGTTTTTAAATTTTTGGATATGTGCATATTTTATTTGTATATCAGATTTTCCATTCGAATTCAATTCAATTTCGAATTCATTTTCAATTGAATTTTGTTTTAAATTTCAATTCAATTTTTAATTTTTTTTCTATTCAATTTCAGTTCAATTTCGGTTTCAATTTCGAATTTTGAATTTATTTTCTATTCAATTTCAGTTCAATTTCGGTTTCAATTTCGAATTCAATTTCTATTCAATTTCGAATTTATTTTCTATTCAATTTCTGTTCAATTTCGGTTTCAATTTCGAACTCAATTTCTATTCGATTTCGAATTCATTTTCAATTGAATTTTGATTTAAATTTCAATTCAATTTTTAATTTTTTTTTCTATTCAATTTCAGTTTAATTTCGGTTTCAATTTTGAATTCAATTTCAATTCAATTTCGAATTTGGAATTTATTTTCTATTCAATTTCAGTTCAATTTCGGTTTTAATTTCGGTTTCAATTTCGGTTTCAATTTCGGTTTCAATTTCGGTTTCAATTTCGGTTTCAATTTCGAATTCAATTTTGAATTCAATTTCAATTCAATTTCGAATTTTCAATTTATTTTCTATTCAATTTCAGTTCAATTTCGGTTTTAATTTCGGTTTCAATTTCGGTTTCAATTTCGAATTCAATTTTGAATTCAATTTCAATTCAATTTCGAATTCATTTGCAATACACTTCAATAAAATTTAAACTTGTTAGTGAATTTCAATTTAAGCTTCGATCAATGACAAAAGTTATTAAATTTCAACTTAAAACGTAGCTTAGCTAATTTTGTAATCGAACCCGCAATGAAAGACCCCATCAGAATGCTTACAGGGTATAGCAGGCATGTGTCCAAATGAGTTTTTAAAAGGTCAGCGCGAGAGCGAGAAGGAGAGAGATAGAAACACTTGACCAACATTCGATGGATGCTCTATTGAACGTACTTAGCCTAGCACTCGATGGTAATTGAATGCGAAACTGAATTGAAATTGAAATTGAAATTGAAATGGAAACATGTTGATGTGCAGCAAGTTGCAAGTTGAACTTTGATCTTAGGCGAATCGAGCATCGAGTTGTTGCACACATCTTTTTTCTGTTTTGTTTTTCTCTCTTGCGTTTTTTGACACTTACAAGACAAGCCGCAAGTTAAGATCTCTAAAGAAATTCCACGCACGAACGAGACGACGACAAAAAAAATAAAAGAGAAGAAAAAAAACAATAAACAAACAGTTGAGGTCATTGCTCAAACATGCGAGATAGCTTAACAAATAGACAATCTTGACTATGGCAGCTGAAAGACAAGCAGACACACACACACACACACACACACACACACACACAAAATACCTAAAATATCCATCTGCATACACATACATATGTGGATATATATATGTAAGTCTATGGGCTTGCCTCAGCTGTATCTCAATCTGTTTCTCTGTCTGTGCATAGCGCAAATCTACACGCGTGTCTCTGGCTTCATTCTGGCGTATCGACAGGTTTTTGGCCATAAAAATACCAGCAACAAAACTGTAATTGGGCAGCTGTAAAGGCGTGGGGCGAGCGGGTTCAGGCCACTTAGTCGAGACCACCCGGAGGTGGGCCCAAAATGAGAGACAAGGCCAGCCCAATAAGAGTTGTTCGTCCAATGGAGTAACGAGTCTTGAATTAAAAGCCAAATTGTTAGTGTTGTAAAGTACTTATTAGCTTGCTAACTAGTGTTGGCTAACGCTAAAGGCCAATTTCTATAAGAAGCGAGTTGAAATATGTTTGCGAGTCAATCAACTTACATTGTTGAGAGCTTGCTTATTAGTGTTGTAAAACAACTTGACAACTTAATCACCAGTGTTGATTAACACCGAAATCAATTAAGAAACTTATTAGAAATCAAGCTAAGTTTTTGTAATAGTTCAAAATTTGCCAAAATGCTTGAAGCTCAACTTTTAGTGTTGTAAAACAGCTTAAGCACGTGTTGGTTAACGTAAGGCAACCGAATTTGCGTAGCAGTGTTGGTCAATTCGAAGCAATTGAACTGACAGTGCTGTTCAACGCCAATGCTAGAAAGAAAACTTGTATTTAATAAGCTGTATTGGAAAACAGTGTTGGTTTAGGACAACATATAGTTAAACTGCTTAAGCCAAAGGGCGCACAATTTTATGTCAATTCGAGCGAACTTGAGCTACAGCTGTTTATACAGCTAAAACAGTGTTGGCTAACACACTAAAAAACCCGTATCAAGTCAAAACTGGGCAACTCAGAACACTTTCTGCGCTGACCTACTGTCGTCGTAGATCCGTCAGTGTTGAGCAACACACATAACAAATCCTTAAGACGCTAGCGCTGCTGCTGCTGCAGCTGCTGCTGCTGTTGTTGTTGTTGTTGTAGCTGGTAAGTCAGCACTAAGTGCTCCTAAGTATTCGACAATTGAAAGAGGTGAAAGCGAAGCTTTAATTATAACTTGTGTCTGCTTGGCTGGCTAACTTGTTGAAGCTGCTCGCTGTTCATGCTGCTGCTGCAAATCTGGCTATTAGCCAGTTTATTGCAAATCATCCCATACCCATACCCATGCCCATTCCATTCCCATTCCCATTCCCATTCCCATGCACTTGCTCCGTTGCCAGCCCTCAGCTGCACTTGCGCTCCAAATGCCAAGCGGCCAAGTCCGACGCTTTTGTGTCTCTCTGTCGAGAGTTCAAACGAGTACAAAACAAATATAAGAAAAAATATTTGAAAAAAGTGAAATTTCAAATTGACGACGACTCTGTGTCCATAATTGGCGGAAAGCGACAACAACAACACAGACGACGACTATTCCAAATAGGACGCTCGAGTGGCTGCCCCCAGCTGCAGTCGCCCGGAATCGGATTCGGATTCGGAATTGGATTTGGCATCGAATTCGCCAAGTTATTTATAAATACTACAGTCGCAATCCATAAAAGAAACTCAAAAACAAATAAAAAGCAAAATTGATTTTTGTCCATTCGCACTGAAATGGAAATCGAAAACCGAAAGCAAAAAATTAAAAATTAAAAAAAAATAAAAATAATAATAATTAAAAACACATGCGAGTGATTAAAGCTGGCATTGCAGAAGCTTAAATACCCTTCAATGGTTTCTAAACAAAATGCTATATATAATATAGATTAAAAATCAAGTTGTCTCTCAGATATCGTTTCAATTTGTTAGCTTTGATTTCTCAACATTCTCCAAGCAATGCAGAAATAAAATTTATACTTGAAAAACTATCTGAAGTTTAGATAATAGATTTGGTAGATTCTAAGAAGAAACTCTATAAATAAATTACTATGCTCCTTGCTATATGTCCATATATATCTACAGAGTACAACTATCTGCCTATATATGCTAGCATCTATAAATCTATAGCCGTTTCTATATCTAGCCAGCCATCTCGCTAACCATATACATAAACATATATGTTTTGCATCCGTCTATTAACTTGATCTATCTATATGGATTTTTTTGTCTTTTCATCTTTCTATATTTCTACCCCTCAATCCATTCTGTTGCTATATATCTATGTACTTTGATAAGTATATATCTATCTATTTGATTATCTATATGTATCCAACTAGCTCTACCTCTCCTCTCTCCCTGCCTCTCTCTTTCTCTTCTTCCTATACGCCTCCTATTGCATCATATCTTTCTCTCTATCTTTTCTATCTCTTGCTCTTTCTCTCCCTCTCTAGCCTTCTCGCCTTTTACTCTTTCTCTTGCGCTCTACAGCTTCCTCTGTCTCTCACCCTATAGATATATATCTAACTCTTCCCCTTTAGTCTACTTACGTATGCCAAAGACCTCTAACAGTCGTGACACACTTGCACGCTG